TACTGCCTTCTACAGTTATTGGCTCGGATTCTGCACGGTGATGGACTTTGGATGGGTAGACGAGTACGATGCTTCAATGGGACCTAACCGGAGGACAAGACGTGCAATGGAGGACGAGAACAAGAAATTAAGGAAGAAGGCAAGGAGAGAATACAATGATACAGTCCGGGGACTTGCAGCATTTGTGAAGAAACGGGATAAGAGGGTGGTTGATATGATGGTAAAGAAGAAATTGGCCGAAGAGAAGCATCGAGCAGAGGAGAAAGCAAGGAAGAAGGAGGAGGAAAGGAAGAAGATGGAGAAGGCAAAGCTATTTGAAGAGCCCGAGTGGACACAGAGTAACGAGCAGGAGGATGACTTCCATGAGTTGGAAGATGATGATGATGATCATAAAAAGAAGGGCAGGGAGGAGTTCTATTGTGTGGTGTGCAATAAGAAGTTTAAGTCAGATAAGCAGTGGAAGAATCATGAGCAGTCAAAGAAGCACAAGGATAAGGTTGCAGAACTGAGGATGGCATTCAAGGAGGAGGATGAAGAGTTTTTAGAAGAGGAGGGTGACGTTGAAGTCCATGTGAGCTTTGATTATGAACCTCCAGAGTCAGAGGACAGCGATGTGGTTGAGGAGCTTTCTGATAAGTTAAGGGAAGATTTAGAATTTCCAGAGACTAATGATGATGCTGAGCATCTAGGGGAGAGGGATGATGAAGCTAGCATTTTGGAAGCAATGGTAGCAGGGCGTAAGAATAGGAAAAATAACTCTTTGAAACAGCATGATTCATCATTGAATGACATTTATCATCCTGATAATGGTGAGCAAAGCAGCATGGACTATGATAGCCAAAGAAGAGGCCGTAGGCATCGAACATCAAGAACAGGGACCAGCGAAGCTGATTCTGAAGTTAAGAAGGAGAGGGGTGAAACTAGTAGGGAGGATACTGAGGTTAAAAGCCATGAAACAAGCACAGAGTATCACAATGAGGCTTCTTCCTTATTAGTTGAGGAGACAACTGTGATTAATAAAAAGGATCGGCCTACAGGAAAGAATCAGAAGTCCAAAAAACAACAGGTAGATGGCAAAGGTGCAGGAAAGAAAGTTGCACCTGCTGACACAAACAACTTACCAAAAGGAAGGAAACAAAAGGTAAAAAAGTCTTTTATCTTTTTTTTTTAACCAACATTTTTTCTTGATTAACCTCAGAAATGATTATAACTTTTACAATAGTGCAGGATTTTAAGTTGTCTTTTGTTGTCCTTGTGATTTAACATAATCAACAACTCGTGTTCCCATTGACTTATATATAGATGGATTAAAGGATCTGAATCAACAGATGAGATGGAGATGGATTCCTGGAAATATCCTCTAGATAAAAGCTGTTTTATCTTTTCTCCTGGGTTATAGAAGTTCTTTTTTTCTGGTAGGAAGCTCTTTATCTAGTTTTTCCTTTTTCTTGTTTTTCTTTGGTGGGTAGGGGGCTTGGAAAACTGATATCTTGATTGATGATTTTACTCACATAGAACACTTACTGAACCCCTTTTTTTTCTGCTCTGAAAGATTTTGTACTTGTTAACTCCTTCATTGATGATAATTTAGAATGATATTGGAATTGGGATATTCTTCCTAGCTCTGTTAGTGGGTGTTACTTTTCACAATTCTGTAAGATTTAATAATTTGGAACAGAGTTTCTGTAGATTGTCAGCTGACAGATCCTTTTCTGTCAGATCATGGCATGAGGTTCTTGCATTTCATTGTCTTGTGGAAATGTCAGGTTGAAACCCAAGATTTTCTATTGTAGTGGCTTTTGAGATCCATTTGTTAGTCAAAGATAAATGTTATGAAAGGGCTTGAACTTGGATCAGCTTTGTTTCATTGAATGGGAAAATACATAGAGTTCTGTTTATTTACCCAACCATCAAAATGCAAATTCATTCTCAAATGTGCTAAGAGGTTTAGCATTTATAAGGCTTAGACTTGTTCTGGTGATAACTATATGCTCAAAATTATTCTACAATTTTCAGGTACTTATGTTTGACAATTCAAATTCAGTTTGAGGTTAACTTTTGCGATTATTAGTTTTCTTCAGTGAACTGTAAAATTTCTTGAGTTTTTTAAATTGCTTAAACTGTTATCAGCATGGAATATGAGATTCATTGACGGCTTGGAGTGCATTTGGATATTAAGTTTTTAAACATCATGGAGTTTACTAAAGTTGCTCTCTGTAATTTTGTTTGTTAGTTTTAACTCAATAATCATCATAAGCTTGTCAATAATTTTTACCAGGCTAATTCAAAAGCGCCGAGTAATGCATGTGAGACATGTGGGGAGACCTTTGAAACAAGGTAACTTTTCACTCTTTTGTAAACCCTTTGTTACATGTTGTGGTCATCACTTGTCACTACTCTTTTCCTGGTCGTTTCATTTCCTGCCATGTTCTTGAGCGTCAAGCCCATTATTGTGGTTATGTCAGGAATAAATTGTTTGCACATTTGGGCGACACTGGCCATGCTTCTCTCAAGTCAAGGTGACTTGTTGGATCAAGCAACTATATTTGTGAGTAATTGATGACAATTTTTTCCAGAGGTTATTGGCCTTGCTTTGCGAGCATAACTTTACTCTGTATGAAGGGCTTGTAGGGATATTTATACAAGCCGATACGAACTGGACCGCAATTTTGGGGATTTCAGAAATGTGCAGCGAGATATCTTTTCTTGAGAACTGATAGCTGGATGTTGTTTTTTCAATAAGTGAAATAGAAAAGAAAAAGTGATGGTAAAGTGTGGAAAAACAGAAGGCACTGTCATTCTCAAATTAGAGTTATATTGTTTGTCTAAGCAGTTTAAGTCAATCAAATCGGTATTCATTGTTTTATTTTTCCATATTGGATTTTCCGGGGATGTGTGTGTGTGTAAACTCCTCTATGATAAAGATCTTTACCAGTGGCAATCTTTATTTATTTGTTTATTTTATTGCCCGTAAGATGTCTAAATTTGTGTGCCGGATGCTGATACTGTAAGTTACTGGAAAAGTTGTCCTAATTGTAATTGCTAGATATAATGCTGCTGCTCTTCATCGGTGATATGGGAACCCACACATGGCTATGCACTACCTTCCCTGGTTTTTAGATTGGATTTCCATTGGAGGTAAGTGCAGTTGGTTTCTTTGAGATGGCTTTATGCAATATCTAGTCATTGACCAATCGAATATGTTTTGTCCCAAAGTTTGGTGATGTGATGCATTTGAAGACAAGGTCAAAAGAAATCTGTTTTTGGGGTGTACTATTGGCCTTGCTATTTCAGTGAAGGCTTCCAATTGTAATGTTATGCAGCATTTCTCCTTCTCAAGTTGTTCTATGATCGTTGTTGTTTGAGGCACCAAAATCTGTATTGAGGTTGAGGAAGTACATTTTGACGATCGGGTTAGGAAGTCTGTGCGCTGCTTCCAATTGTAATGTTGTGCAACATTTCTCCTGCTTAAGTTGTTCTATGATCATTGTTGTTTGAGGCACTAAAATCTGTATTGAGGTTGAAGAAGTACATTTTGATGATCGGATTAGGAAGTCTATGCGCTACTTCCAATTGTATTGTAATGTTATGCAACATTTCTCCTGCTCAAGTTCTGTGATCATTGTTGTTTGAGGCACCAAAATCTGTATTGAGATTGAGGAAGTACATTTTGAGGATCTGATTAGGAAGTCTGTGTGCTATTGTAATGTCATTATGCAACATTTCTCCGGCTCAAGTTGTTTTAAGGCACCAAAATCTGTATTGAGGTTGAGGAAGTACATTTGGGGATCGGATTAGGAAGTCTGTGCCCTACTTGTGTGGAAGGATCTCTGGAAGGGAGAAGGCAAATCAGATGGGGAGGGCTACTTGTGTAGAAGGATCTCTGGAAGGGAGAAGGCAGCTCATATGGGGGAGGAACTGAGTTCAACTTTGTTGTGTCTGAATCAAAATTTCATTAATGTTGTACTCGAATGTTATTCTTTCCAACTGCACCAGAGTTTGTCTTTTTCCAGGTAGTAAAGAGATGAGATCACAAACAAAAGGCTAATATATGGTTACAGATGGTATGCTAAGTACATACCATATAAAATAATTACAGCAAGTTAAAAGGTCTTCGTCATTTGGATGTATTTATTGAATGTCACATTGACCATCTCAGTGTAGATTATTAAGAATGCGGCAGCCACTTCGTATCATGCATAATGGTTGCATGGCTGGTTTGCAATCGTGTGTACCGGTAGTAATATCGATCAAAGCTTGCATTAGTATCAAGTAGTTTGCAATCTTATGTACCGGTAGTATATCAATCAAAGCTCGGACTAGTATCAACAAGGTTTACGATCTTATGTATCGTACCGGTAGTATATCGATCAAAGCTCGGACTAGTATCAACAAGGTTTACGATCTTATGTATCGTACCGATAGTATATCGATCAAAGCTCCGACTATTTGTAATCTTATCTACTAGTAGTATATCCGTAACGATATATAGCGAATGTCAATATATTGATATATAGCGAATGTCAATATATTGGCACATATTAAATTTTAAGAACTTAAAAAATCTGAAAACAATAAAAAAAATCCATCGCGAATCCATCATGTATGCGCTATCCTATTTATCAACGTACACTAGCTTTCAGAGCAGCAATTACTATCATTTTTACTATACGGTACCTATCGATGTTACAAATGCTGACATGCTTAATAACAA